AACATGCCCAAGCATGCCTATAATAATTAAGTATGCCATGTCTTAGGTAACATTATGTTCAAACAAGGCTTAAGATGTGGCGCAACTGTAATGCTCCAGATACTTTAACTATTTTTCATGGATTACAAAATTTCTCTCCTTAGTTATTCATAAAAATGGATGACTTTTAAGTAATTGCTTTAAGCCTGGTTAAGAGATATGCCCTAACAACAAGAAGCATCAGGGTTACCAACATACACTTAACCAGTATTCTGAAACCAAGTCCTGAAACTAATGGAGAACTCCAGTTAAATGCAATTATTTTCTTTCATTGTAATTAAGTTTCTTGTTCAAGGAAATATTAGTAATAAGTATTTTTTACCCACTAGTGAAAATGAGTATCATTCCTATCAGAAAGAGAACCCTATCAGAAAGAGAACCCAAATCTCTAGACAAGATTTGAACAGTATACATTTATTAGTGCCAAACTAGCTTCTTTTGAAAGCTAAATTTGAATTTATGTAGTAGATTATTGAAATCTGCTGGGGGTAAAAATAGATGAGTATGAAGGATCCATTAATTCAATTCTAATCATTCAATCATAAGTCAAGGAAAAGGAGTTTTCGGCAATCTGGTCAGATTTTCTTGAATTGTTTTCTAAAGGAAATAATAAATACATTTATTATTAGGGCTGTTGTTGAAGAATATCCAGAAACTGCAACTGGTACAAAATGTGGCAATGGAAGCAGTTATATGCACTCCAAGAATAGCATATTACACCTCTGCACCGTGTGCTGCATTAGTTATGGTTTTGCTTCTAGGTTCAATTCAAAATGCTAGTTATGACCTTAAAAGCCTACATGGCTTGGGGCTGAGTTATTTGAAGGCCTCTCCCTTGTATTACATCCATCAGCTCTGGCAGAAAGTGTATGCTAAAAGTCCTGTCTAGTAAGGAGTTTTGTCTGATGGATCAAAGAGGAAAGCCTTTTCTGCTGTGGAACCTTCCCTCTAGAACATCATCTTCCCTGAGGTTAGAATGGTCCCAACAATATTGGCCTTCAGGAGGACCCCAACAACATGGTTTTTTTATCAGATGTGCAAATCCCATGATAGTATTATTTATTTTAAATTGCTTTACTTTGTTTCAACTTGTTTTTGTTACTGGTTTTTTTGTTATTTATTTATATGTATTTTGCTTGTTTTTAATTTTATGAGATGGGCAATTAATATCTCTATAATATCTTACTCAGTACCTGTATTTTTCTTTTTATACTACTGTTATTTTCCTTTGGGGCAGTAAATAAAAAATTGCATGTATTTAATTATGCACAAAAAATCTCAAATGTTTTTAGAGGATTTCAGTAATGGGGGGAAACATCTTTGTATGAGCCGAGGTAGCACAGCAGTTAGGGTGCAGTACTGCAGGCCACTTTAGCTGACTGTGTTCAGCAGGTCAGCGGTTCAAATCTCACCGACTCAAGGTTGACTCAGCCTTCCATCCTTCCGGGGTAGATAAAATGAGGACCCAGATTGTTGGGGGCAATGTAGATATATATATTGCTTACTGGTGTACACCGCTTAGAGAGTGCTTGCACTTAAAGCGGTATATAAGTCTCATAAATAAATAAATAAATAAATAAATAAATAAATAAATAAATAAATACTTTCCATTGTGTTAAAATACTACCTAAGGGAGAATCTGGTTATAACATGGACAAAGTTACCAAAAGTCTCAAAGTACATAAAAACAATATTATATACAGTATTTATCTTAGAATAATGATCTGAATTAGAATTATTTCATTTGAAAATGCATATCCTCATCAGAAAGCTTGTCAGCAAGAAAGTATACAATCTATAGGTATATGAGGTTTCTGGATCACAAATTAATTAACTAGTGTGATTCATATATAATTATCATTTTTCAATAATTTCTATGTTGCACAGCACTAATCACTCTTAAATCAACAGTCTCAAAATTCAAAACAGTATATATCAAAACGTTTGGTATTAAATTTGTATTGCCTTGTTCAGAAAGAGAAAAATGAGCAAATTTTATTTAACTCAGATAGAACTATTTATATATACTAAACTGTTTAATACAATCTTTCCTACTGAAATTAGTGAGACTATTTGATTGCTACATTGTTTAGGATTAAATCAACAGTCTAAATACTGCATTAATAAAACCATCACTTCTAAAATTCTAATAAATATATTCAGCCAAGAAATTATTTGAGTTCACTTTTCAAATGGAAAAGTTAACTCAGTGATACGATTGCATTTAATGGTCAATCTGTCTCGAGATGTAAAAGAGTTTACAAAGGAAAGCATTTATTAACAAAAATGATATTCACTGAATGCTATATATTTTGATAATGAGAGGAATGAAGGGGAAAAATATGGCAACATGATGTAGTGTTTAAGATGCTGGACCAGATACAAGAAAACCCAATTTTAGCTTGGCTTATACATGGAAGCCAGCTGGGTGATTTTGACTGAGTGTACTAGCATGAACTAGATCAGGCGATAGAGTAGAACATATAAACTTCAATGAAGAGGCCTTCATTCCGAATATTCTGCAAGCCAATAAAATAATTATTTATACATAGGGTGTGGATTGATGTACACAAGAGTGATGAAAAATCACTGATCCGTTATGTATAAACAATAAACTGTTTTTCTATCAAGTTATTAGCAGTAATTAAATTTACATTTGAAATCCCATCTTCTAAAAGAACAGGAAATACCTTCTTTGATACTTTATGTAGAGAAAAACTGTACAATAGGAGTTCGAGGTTAAGTCTGCCTCTTGTTTTAGATTAGCTTTAAGACCGTTGTTTATGGAAGAAAATAAAACATGCCTAATAAAATTCATTCAGTTTATTTTTTGCAAAAAATAAGGATGGCTCCATATATTACAATACCCAAGGTTATAATTCTCCAAACATTTTCTCCATGTAGTTATGGATTTTGTAATTATAACACAGATTTTAAGGAATACGGTTCGTCATGTTCTTCTGCTGTAGACAATTAAAATTCAAAATAATTATTCCTGTTATATGAATAATGGTATTAAGCAATATTAAACATAAATTCCTTCTGGGAAATTTAAACTTTTATTAATGATTAGCGAAGAGTAGAGGATAAAGCTTGTTTATTTCTTACAGTGTGATTTAGTTTGTCCAGAGTAGTCAAGATTAATATAGAGGCCTCCATAATCTATCATGCCTTATGAATTACTCTTGAGAAATAGTTGATATGCTCCTTTATTCATTCATACTAGAAATGCAATAGATGAATAATACACTAACACAAAACTTTTAAAAGGCAGAGAGAGAAAATCTGGAATTGGACTGCCCAGTGTGGCTGTTCAGAAAACTATCTGGTTCAAATCAACTCAAGATGACATTTGAAAAAAGGAAACTTCCTATCTGCCATTGACCAATTTGAAAAACCCACCAATAGCTATAGTCTTATTACAGACTTCCCTGATCTATATACCTCCTTTCTTAAATAGTATGGATTTCAGCTTCCAGAATTCTCAGCAATGCCAGGTTGACTGAAAATTTGGGAAATTTGGGAAACTTGCTTTTGAAGAATCTCCAAACTGGATTAATAAACCCTTCTTCTTTTAAAAAAATAAGTGATGATATTAGGAACCTGATTCTTTTAAACTCACTTGTTGAAGAGAATATAATTCACAAAAACAGAGCATCTTTGTAGTAATGCAAGATTATACCCTTCCAACATTCCTATTATTCCTATTCATCCTTGTGATTAGAATGCATTATTTTCTGTTATTAGAAGATGGCTTGGTCAATCACTCAGCCTTTATTCTTTTTTTCCCTACTCTCTCTTTTCTAGGATTTTACAGAGAAACAAAAGTAGTGTGGGAGCGAGACATATTATATTTGATTTTTTTTAGTGCTCTAAAATACAAGAAGCACATGAAACTTAAAAATAGTTCTGCTTTGGGGGTATCCTATTATTAAGTAAAACCCAAAAAAATCTATCTAAACTGGTTTCAATTAATTCCATTTTGGATTAATTCAGATCTGACTCATCTCTAGCAAGCATATTTCAATGTTCATGTAAAATTTGTATGTACAAAATTTAGCTTCTATTGCTATATTTGATCATATTACAGTTTTGGTAGTTGGCCTGTAGTGTAAGAAAGGTTTATATCAGGGGTGTCAAACTGCTGGCCCGCGGGCCGGATGTGTAATCCGGAAGACACGCCACCCCATTGCCGGCAATGGCAAAACTGTCCTGATACGATGCGCGACGTCATATGACGTTGCAAGTTTGACATGTCTGGTCTATATTATCAAATTATCAAAAGGACAGCATGGTTTAACAATGACAACTGGCAACTGTTTTTTAATGATATGGTGTAACTATATACCGTAGGATTATATACTGGACTGCATCTATATTTTTACCATACATGGCCCTCAAGAGCAGCTTGTCGAGCAGTAAGCACCTCCTGATGAAATATTTTTATTCATCCAGATTGGCAATCAAAGGTAGGCCTTCAACAACAAATACTTAAGAAACCATAAATCATTGTCCTCAAAACAAAACAAAAATCTTAGTAGGTTCAAGTGCAATACTGCTTCTCCTATGAGAATGGGTTATATAATAGATAAAAGAAGTCAGGAAAGTAATATAGGCACAATAGATAAGAAGTATGCAGACTTAACTATCTCATAAAGGTAATGTAAGGATAAGGATTCATCTTGGATTTGGACTGAGCCAACTGAGTCAAGATTGTGACATTTTTAATGTTCTACTTGAATAAGTAAAATATAACCTAATGTTTGTGAGTAGAGTCTCTTAATGCCCACATGGTATATTTTGGGTGAGGCATATAAATTGTGTTATGTAATCTTTAGTTTTATGTCTCTTTCTGTGAATTAATTATTATTATAATTAACATTTTTTAAAAAGATAAAGAGTTACACCAAGTTATTAAGGAAAGGTGTGCCTTATAATCATTGCCTAGACATCATTCTCACCTTAAAAGATGTTTATAGATGTATCTGTAATTAAGAATAATACATAATGTAGAAATTAGGAAAATGCAAAAAGAAATACTCTAGATTTACACTACATTTTGCCCAAAGCAATCTTTAGAGTGGGATTTCATTTCCAGATTCACTTTTCAGGTACACTGTTTATACACCATTAAAGCAGGGCTCTATTTTCTAAAGAAAAAGGTGTTTAAATGCTATCTTTGAGTTATGATTACACCAAACAATAAGAAAAGATACAATGCAAGAAGGGATCTACTGTGACTCTTCAAAGCTAAGAGAAGTACCAAGAAAGAGCCAACCAACTGCTGAGGCATATGATCTCAATAAGGTTAGAAAGTAATACTGCACAGCATAAAGCTTGCATAAAAGCTTTTATTTTATTATCCTGTATTTTAATTAATGGATAATATGAGTTGGCTTCTATCATAGTCAATCCAAATTTCAAAGAGACGCCACTAAATTTGTTTCTGGTGTACAGCTTTTGGTCCTCCCTCTTTTCTCACTTCCCTGGCCCTTTTTAGCCTATCCCTTTGCTTCTGAACCCTGGTCTCCGAGATTGAAGGGTGGGTTCTTTCCTCTGTCCCTTTGAGGAAGGGCTGCTAGCTTGACAGCCGCTTGATATATCTATTCGATTTCAGCTGAGCTTTAAAATATTGATCACCTTTGTTAAATTCGTTTTTTCGGAGACTGTCCTGTTCGCTCTTTCTTCTCATCCCCTCCCTCGCCTTTCCTGGGGTTGGAAGTGAGCAGCAGCTGAACAGCCAAGCATGCGGTGTATAAATATTGGAATAAACGAGCGGAGTGGAGTGGGGGGCGAGAAGAGGGGGTAGGGGAAATACATGGGAACAGGAGGGGAGGGGGGAGGAGGAGGAGATAAGCGGGTGGGGGGCAGAGCGGCCCTAGTGTGTCTGATACTCCGGTGTGGGGCGCTGCAATCCGGGAGTGAAAAAGGGGAACAGCATTAGAAAAGGGGGGGGGGGAGAAAGGGGTGGGAATATAATAGCATTTAAAACAACAACAACAACACAAGCCAACAACACTGATTAGCTCCTACCAGTCGCACAGGGACTGGGAGGGAACTGTTGTGTGTCTCACCTGACTTCCTTCTTCCCCGGGGCGGCGAGGGAGGCAGCGAGAGGCGCGCACATACCACTCTTCCCAACCAAAAGCAGCCTCCCCCCCCCTCCCCCCAAAAAAAGCCCTTAAAGGCGAGAAGGGAGAAGAAATGGGAGGCGCAAGCGGGCACGAGAGAAGAAAGAAAAGACTACTACTCTATTAACAACAAAAACAACCGGCCCGTAGAAGCGAGCCGGCCACCCTCCCGCCAGCCTTCTTCAACCCTTCGCCTTTCGCTCCTTGGAACCCGCGCGCGGCTTCTTCCTTCGCGTTAGCTCAGCGACTGGCAGCCGCGGCGGTGGTAGTGGCAGCGGCTTGTCTCGGCTCTGCTCCTACACCAGCGCGGACAAGTCTCCGCAAGGGGGAGAACCAGTGAGCCCAGACGGCTCAATCCGAGCCTTTTTCTGCTTTCCTCCAGTTCCGAAGGAGAAGGAAGGAGGAGAGAAAAAGAAGGAAAAGAAAAGGAACGCACCCAACAAACGATCGCCAAGACAGGACTGCGAATTGCAGAAAGAAGACGGAAGCCGCGCTTTTTGGGCAGTTCGTTGGCCCTGGTGTGTGGCAAGAGGGTGGAAAAGGCAGGCGGGCGCCGCCTTCTCGTCGTCGTCTTCTTCCTTTCCTCAGTCACCGCCTGCCAGTTCAGAAGTGGGGGAGGAGGGAGGGAGGGAGGGTGGCTGTGTGTGAGCCCCCTCCTTCTCCTCCTTCCTTCCTTCCTTTAAACGCCCACTCCTGATGGGTGAAAAGGCAACTTGAAGTTCAGTGCAATTAACTTCGCCGGCGCCTGGGAAGCTGAAGGTGTCGCCCAGCCTCGCCCGCCCTCTCATGAGTAAGTTGGTCTTTTTCTACCTTTCCCCCCCGCCTCGTTTTAGGTATGCTGCACTGACCAGTCACTCCCGTTTAATACCTACTTTTAAGGTTTTTAGGGACTTATTGTTGCGGACGGTCCATTTTGCTTGGCAACTGACAAAGCGTGGAAATCCAATTGGGGGGGGGGATATGTGGAATCCTCTAATATTTGTTCTGAGTTATCGGAATCGGCTTTTAGAGGAATCCTCTTAGCCTCCTCTTTATTCATTTCCAGTAAAGGGAAATTTTACTACGGCAGCTTGATCTGGAGGAAAGCTGCTTGCAGACGCGCAAACACCTGCTTCGCGCTCCCTCGTCTAGCCGCCGCCTCCCAAGCCAAGAAGTTTGCAGGCGAGGTCCTTGGCAAGTTTGCTTGGCTTTGTCGTTCACCGTAACTCAGAAGTTTGGCTCAGTTCATAAGTTTCAAGCCCGGTGCCCTCAGGGATGGGGGACGAAGGAAAAAAACGCCGGTGAGGGAGAGAGAGGTGCCTGCGGGATGCTTGCGGGTGGGAGGAAAAACGTTGCGAGGAGGAGCGGGTCAGTGAAGGCAAGGGGGACGCGCCAACGCGGCGACGCACTTCGTTCTGCCACCGCGTCGTGAAAGTGAGGGAGTTTTAAAAGATTTATATCTCGGCGGTTTGTATGACTGGGGGAAAAGATCTATCTTGCAGTACCGGGAAGAAGTCAACTTGAGGTGTCTGTTGGCAGAAAAGGGCCGGGGCTTTGCGGCTAGGGAACTGAGAAGGAGGGCATTTGGCCTGCCACTGACCTCCAGAAGGCGGCTCCTCATACAGGTGTATCTTCCTCTCTCCGCGCGAGGTCCTCCTTTCGCTCTCACAGTCCTGCCTCTTTTTTGCGGGAGGGGGAGCCCGGTGGTCTCCCAGGAGCTAAAAAGGAAATTCAATTTTCTTTTGATGCTAACCTGTAGCGAAGCTGGTGCTGGGAGATCACTGAAGGGGCAGCTGGACCGCTTGCCTCTGTGGAAATGTTTCTGCAAAGTTACTCGGTATGTGGGCCCTTTTTTTTTCGACGGCGTTTGACCACATGGAAGTATAACTGTTGCTGACATATATTAAATTGTATTGGTTGTGTTATCTAGAGTCTGTGCCAAAGTTTGGCGTGCTTGTCAAAGCTTCCTACATTTTTGTCCCTCTGAAAAGCTTTGGCAACTTTTGATATTCATCTCTGAAAAGCTTTGGAAATGACAGCTAATGTGCCTGAGTTAAAACGTCTATTTTAGTGAAGAAGCCCTTTGCTTTATTGAAAGCTGCGATTAGTAGCTTTAACTGTATTGACAGATTATTTTAAGATAACTTTTTTATTCAACCTTGCTTTATTTTAAAGACAAAGAATGAAAATAAGAGTGAAGAACTGGGATCTCTATTGCTATGCCTTTTCGAAGGATCTAATTTAGCAGCCACTCTTTTATATTTCCATAATATTATTTAGGTTTAGTTCATTCATATACTCCTGCTCCAGAATGCTGGCAGAAATTAGCAAAGAGGCTTACATTTTTGAGAAATGTGCAGAAAAGAATATCATTAATCGATGTTTTAAATCTTAACAACCTCAGCATCTGTTATAAAACAAATTTAATGTATTTACTCTATTTTTCTCACATTGTTAAGAAAGATTGTACTATGTGTAAAATTTCAATTTTAGTTGGCAAAAGGAATTGATTTCACTATTCTTCAGGAGTGTTTACAGCAGTCACCAGATATGGAAGACTTAATTGCAGCAATTCCTTAAATAAAAAGGACAGGAATCAATGTTAACATAACCCAGAAGCACAGTATGCCTCACTAAGTTTAGGCATAGCATAAATTTTGCTTTGTAAATGTCTTCCAACATTCACATGAATTGGAAGACATCGTGACAGATAAAGAGAAAGAGAGAAAGTAAACATACAAGAAAAATACTTTGGAATTAGAAAACATTGCAAATCTATAAAGCGCTTTGCACATTATGAAGTAATATAGTTTACAAAACTTAATGGCTTAAAAATGGAAAAGATCTCAAAAAATATTTGCTTTATACATCCTAATAAAAAACTAAAATAGAAAGAATATGAATGTTTCTGTAATGTTTATTCTTTTCTTTCTTAGAAATTAAAATATGTAACATAGTTATATGTATTAATACTTGTTTCTTAGTGATAAAAATTGTAAATGGACTGGGCCCAAAAGAGAGTTTCTATTTTCATGCATTTAACCATATATTTTATAAACTGCACCATAATATCTTATGAGAATCTTCTTACAACTGCATAATTTAGAAGAATTTCAGAATTCTACCTATTCCCTAGGGTATATTAACTTAATAGAGAACATATGCCATTTTATTTCAGTTCAGACCTGGAATTTGAAATATAAAAAATATTTTGGCATTCAATTTGTGTTAAGACTTATATGTTAGATAAGTAAGCAAAAACTATATATAACCTAAAGAATGCCATTCCTTATTAAATGCCTCATGATAACCATGTGGCTCCAAATCAAGTAAGTACAAGGACTTACATCCAGTATTCCAAAAATGACTTTTGCAAACCTTAAAAAAACCCTGAAAACTAAATTTTCATAATTATATTTAATACAGTATTCAAGAAAATTTGGCCTAACTTATTTATGTAATTAATCTATGCCTTTGTAAAATAATTTAACTTTATCTGTGTTAATAGCAATAATAAAGATAATTGTTCTGGTATGAATATATATCATGTACAAAATGCATTCACGTCCCTAGAGTCCAGTCTGTCCTGACTTTTATATATTTATATATTTACTTTATATATTTTACAATATATTTTACTTTATATATTTTACAAAAATGTTTTACTGATATTTAATAATAGTTGAGTTTTCTCTGTGTTATAGTTTTTTACTTTCTATTAAAAATCCTAACTGCTAAATCATACGTTCTGTACAGTATGAGGGTCATCAGATACTTACATATTTAAGTCACCATCAAATGTTTAACCTCCTTCACAGCCCAGGTACTCTGGAGTTGTTTTTCCCTCTCTAATGTTTAGTTATATATTTTATCTATTTTTGATTGGTGAAGTAATAGAAATAAGGGTACCTTTGTAAAAAGAATCTTATTTGTTGCTGCTATTGACATTCATGATTAACCAGGTATTAGTTTAGAACCAACAGCAGTGTTTTGCTTAATTACATTATGATACTTGGTTTCTAAAGAGAATTCTCATCTGTAAATTATATGATTTTATTATTTTTGTGTACTTGTATGTGTTTTGATGTGTAACATTTCCATAAAATGGCTTGATTTCTAGAATACAAGAAAATATCTTCTGTCAAAAATAAATTTGATTTTTACTATAAAGATAACCAGGATCTTGGTCATCTTGTTATGTTTTAGGAATGAACACTTCTGATTTAAAGTCATTATGCTTCTAGTCTTTATTTATCTTACATTAAACTGACAGAGCATCAATCAAAGGAAAAATATTACTTTCCTGAAGTAAATACCAGTTTATAAGTGAGTGCATGTATTTATATCCCTGTCTCCACTAAATAATGGCTCTGTCTCCTTTTTAATATCTACCTGGCAGTATTAACCATGGCAACTAAGTCTTCCTTGTTAGCATACAAAAAAAAGTTTTACTATTTGTACCAGGAGTAACTTAAAGAAAGATTCCATGGGAATATATTTTAAAGAACTAATATCTAAGTAGTGAATCTTCAGAAAAATAACATGACTAGCAAGTTGCACAGTATCTGTTTGAGCTGCTGAAGATAGGGGCAGAAGCATATTATTAATAACTGAAAGCACATATGTGTAAGTGAGGAAAAATGTTCAGCAAATCTGTCATCATGAAGTTCAATGCATTTTAAACAAATTTGCCACTTAAAATAAAGTTACTGCAGTTTACAAAAGCTATTTACAAAGCTAGATTTCTACATTAAGTTAAATTTATTTTGAAATCTGAGTCTGTTTGGTGTAAAATATGATTAAATCTATTCCTATTTGTAGCACATATAATGAAACAGTCCTACAGGATAAGATTGATTTCTCTTGCCGAGTTTGTTGAATATAGTTCATCTTTGGAATTGCAAAACAAATTTAGATTTACTTTACAATTCGAAATATCATTTAGTATTAATTTCTTGACATTAAGATTAAGAATTTTTTAAAACATACTGTGATGAGTGTTCATGCATATTAACATATCATCTTAAAACATTTAGCT